ATATATATATATATATATATAGATATCCGAGTTAATGTTTGAAGTAAGTCCTATATTTCGGAGGAGTTTTGATCAAGAAACTACAAAAGATGGTGATAGGGTGGTGGTTTTGTGATGGTGTTAGGGTGGTGATGTTGTACACGTGAGAAGAAGAAGATAGAGAAAAAGAAGATATAGAGAAGAGAGTAAGCTAAGATTGTTTGTGTGGAAGGAAGGAGGCTCATGCGTTCTTTTTATTGCCAAATGATCTCGCACACAAGCCTTGTAAGGCCATGCTTCCAACCATACATGTACCTCTTTTGGAAAACTTGCACTCAAGAAGAATAGAGGGATGGAGAAGGAAACCCATGAGGGCGCGAAGAGAGAAGGGAGTATTGGTTACCTTCTAGGTCATGTGATCTACCATTTATTAAATGCCCAAAAGTTGACTCATTCATGGTGTATTGGGACTCGGGTATGGAGAAATTTTTCTGAATGTACCGTTAGATAGGATTTAAGTCAAGGATTTCAAAAACCCAAACGGATTGATTCGTGTCTAAACGGCTCGCGGTGTCCATTTTCGCGACTTTGGTAAATATTTTTGCTAAAAATATTTCAAGTATGGAATTAAATAATAGACTATAGTCTGATTCCAAAAACGTTCTAAAAAAATCTCGACGACAATGTGTAAGTGTATCAACGGATTGATTTGGTTTTATGCGATTAAAGATAAACAATGTTTTACTATATGTTTTTTTTAAAACTATCGTATATTTTACGTACGAACTTTGTTTTGGGCTTTCTTTATATTTTCGGAAACAGGGGAACATCTACTATAATATTTTAATGTTTTTTTTTGCTCAAAATTGTATTTAATGCAAAATTGAAAATTTTCAGACACATTAATTTGCGTTGCAGTTTAAGCGGTTTGATTTGGTTGACAGTTTACACATTTAGAAGTAAGGTATCATCTGACATCATATAATAATTCAATTGAACTCATTTATTTTTATTTAGATGCACTAAAACTGAATGAGTTAACTTAAAAATAGATATACTGTAATGTAGTCCTTTGTATTCTATGCCCTAAATTTCGGGATGTCATATTACCTCCCCGTTAAGAGAATTTCATCTTGAAATTATTAAGTTCTATGCTACTTTGTGTTATTATTAAGCTGTTTCACTAGTGGAGAGAGCATCGTTGAATAAGTATGGATACTTCTGTTTCATTTGATCCTCGCGTTCCTAAGTAAGCTCCGGCCCTCTACGAGAGTTCCATCAGACTTTTACTATAGGTATGCAATTTTGCTTGAGTCTTTTGATCTCCCAATCCATAATCTCCACTGGCTCTTCTACGAAGTGAAGTTTAGTGTTGATTTGGATCTCATCACGTGGCATGATGAGGTTCTAATCGGCTAGACACATTTTGAGATTATACATGTGGAAGGTATCTTGAACCTTGCTATGTTCTTGAGGTAATTTGAGCTTGTATGCTACCAGACCAACCCTTGCCAAGATTTCGAAAGGTCCATTGTAACAGGCGTTTAGCTTTCCTATTTTTAAAAATTTGAAGACGCCCTTCCATGGATCAACCATTAGTAGGGCACAGTCTCCTACTTTTAATTCCAATGGTTTGAGTCTGTTGTCAGCATAACTCTTCTATCGACTACATGTAGACTTTAACTATTCTTCTGTGATTCTAAGCTCCAAGGACAAGAAGATTGAAGCAAGTAATTCAAGGTATTCTTTTAGATCTGATTTCTTGTGTTATTATACTAGATTTATCAATCAAAGTCTTGGATACATTGCATGTTCAATTAGAGAAACCTAGATCCAAGCATTAAGGTTTGTATGTCCACATAGGAATGTTCTTATGGCCAAAACCCATCACTTACATGCTTATTGTTGCTGAATCAGAAATGGTTTGGCAAAGCAATGGAGTGTATTTGTTGGGAAAGTCAACCAACCATGCTTCCGAGGACGTTCTAGGAGAACTGACTTGCGTTTGCTGCCAAGAGAAAGGGCGTTGGATACAAATCTGCCCTAAGAGCCTAAAGATTCCAGAAGATGGGAGAGTCAAAGAGTATGACTGTACTTCAGGTAAAATCCACTATCTAACTCCATTGAGTTCCTATTCATTGATATATGATGTGATGAGATTGCATTTGAATGTTTTGCAGGATCAGTGAAAGGAGAGGAAGCTTGATGAAGGAGCAAGATGAATCTAATCACGAAGAAATGGATCTCGATAGCATGGATTTCAAGATTAGATTTTGAGCTTAGAAAGTTATGATAGAGTTGTTAGAAAATTTTCTTTTGACTACATAGTTTTCAGTTGATTTTGCATTGTAAGGACAAATGTTTTCCGCTGCTTTTATAAATAAAATAAATTTTGGTTTAACTCATTTATTTCCTTGCAATGAAATCGTTATGAAAAATTTATGTTTGCGCATTTCTACAACGAATGGATGTGATTCTTAATTATGAAATGGTCAAGAATTTACCAAATAAGGAGAGTTTCTCATCGCTCAAGTTTCAATTGGACAAAAACTTGGAATCATGCAACTTGGTTGCATAATGAATGAGAAATTTCATATTTGGAAACTAGACTAATTCGTTGGCAAAGTGTCAAGTGAAGGACTAGGAGATCGAGTACACAAGGTTGTGTGTTGATCAAGACCACCACAAGAGTAACAAAGATATTCGTCATGATTTACTAAGGTTAAGTAAATATGATTACACTTATGAGATTAAGTGTAATTCTTAGTGGATTGAAAAAGTTTAAATCAATAGCAGAATGAATAAGAAGAATCAAGTAGGTAGAAAGATAAAAGTTTCTCTATTCTAAGAAGAAGGGAGAGTACCTTTTATTATGTTTTATGATAAGTCTTAATGATTAAGAACCATATTTTAATTGATCCTCTAAGTGAGTCTTAGTGCAATTGTATGTCTAAGAAGAGGAATCAAGAATTGAAGAAATGGTTAAATCACGAAGTCAATCATACTTCGTTCTAAAAAAAAGTCTTAGAGTTAAGATTGTGACATTGAGTGACAAGTCTTAAGAAGGTTTATAACATTCACCAAATGTGGAAAGTTATGATGTCTTGGATAAGACAAAGACCAACTAGGACCAATTTTGTGAAGTGTTTTGTCTTGATAAAAGCTACATTAACTCTTGAATATTTGTTTGTCGAGAAATGTTTATTGACAAGAGAATCTTATATGTCAAGGAGTCAGTGGGAGTCTTAATGGTCTTGAAAGGTTTCAAGAACAAATCAAAATAAACCTTATCGATCATCACTAGCACACGACTTCAGATTTACAACCTATCGTATTGACATTATCTTGTTTCTGTGACGTTCCAATCGAGTTATTTATGCATATGAGTTCTATCAGTTCTCATTTGAGTGCATAAAAGGCAAGGACCTTAATCAATGAATAGTACATTGATAAGATAGGGTGATTTGCTTAACTACTTGGAAGACATTGTGGGAAGCCGTGTTACCATAAGGCGAGAGATCAAGATTAAGAATGTTAGGTCCATAAGAGTTTGGATTTGTTGCAAACTTTGGTTTTGACAAATTTACATGGATAGAAACACATACATCATTAAAATCTAAGTGTCATGAGATTCCCTCCTTCATGAAAATGAATGTGAGGAAATGCTTTCACTGAAAAAGAGATTTTGAGAAAAATAGTGATTGTGAAAAATTGGATTCTCGAATTCGATTATGGTTACGGTATCCCTTTCCATGATTCGAATTATGAGATTTGGCAATTAGTCTGAATTGTTTAGACACACATATGAGCTATCTAAAGGAAAGGTGTATAACCTTGATAAAAGATTATCAAAGCATTAATTATTAGAAATATGAACTTGAGAAATTCAATAGGTATTGTTTTCCTGTGAGTTAAACTGTTTTCTGAATACATGTCAAAGCTAGTGGGAGCATAAGTGTTATGTTTATAATAATCATCATGATAGTGGGAGCATAAATGTTATGATTGTATGATTAATAAGGAAAGTATTGCAAGTTAGCAATATTAATTATAGAAAACAAGAGTTATACTTTGCAAAGTTGTAAGGGTTGAATAGTTGTTTTGCTATAATTAAGGGAGAGAATATTATGCTTCATTTCAAATGTAAAGGCTTAGGTTGTGGAATGTTAATAAATTTAGTCAAGAGTACATAGTGCGTTCTCAAAATTTTGATTATAATTGTGGCATCCCTCTTCATAGTTCGAATTCTAAGAATGAGACACATTAAATATTATGGGAGAAGATTGACACTACCAGAAAACAGGCCTTTAAGGACATGCAATTTATGACACGCACGAATGTATGATACGCAAAAGTGGGTCTCGTAAAAAAACATCATCTCTAATAAAATTTAAAGGATTTAGATTACGTATTTTTGCGTGATGTAAAATTAGGTTTCGTTTTATAATTTTTTTAGGAAAAGGTGCTCCTCCTTTAGTATCTATGGGCAGGAGATGGAAATCCTAAAAATTAGAAATGCGCGCTCCTTTTTCTCCCCCATTTTTGTTTCCCTCTTTTCCCTAAGCCCTAAGAATGATACTCTACGCCCCCCCCCCCCTCAAACATCATCGGTGACTCCACCTCTTTTCCATCTCCTCCGCATTCATGACTATCTCTATATATGAATCTCCATAAAACCCTTAAATTCTATATAAATGGAAAATGAAGTAGTCATCGATTCTTCCTCCATTGAAGTAGAAATCAATTGCTTGGATCTTCCTTTTGGCGCAGAATATCTCAGAATCGATTTTTGGGATCTTCCTCACCCTCTGGTTTCGATCTCTTCTATTTGTGGCATGTAAATTTTAGTACTCCCTCTTCCCCACCATCTCCTAAATCTCTCGCACACTATCTCAAGATATTAATCGGTTCTTTTGCATTGTGCATTAAAAACCCTTCTCACATACTCCCTCTTATGCACTATGCCCTAAAAAATTCTAACATGCTTCATGAAGAAACATGTCGGTATCACTCTAAGAACCATGGTCGTCACCCCTACCACCACTATTTACGTGGATGGTCTAGCGAGTCCAGGCACGGAGTCATCAGAGCAGCCAACTAAGCCTGATGCCTTCAAATGTTCTTGAATAGGATAGGTTCGTCCCCTTCTGTCCTCCTTTTTTCAATTTCAATTCTATCCATATCGATCGTGAAGTTTTTATTGAATTTTAAAACAAAAGGAAAAACGACGATACTGAAGATACTTGGAGGGAAGCATATGGTGGAGCCTGATATGATTAGGGTTCTTGGTAGATCGGCATTCCATGACACCTCTTTGACTTCTTTGGGTGACCTAGCTTAACTTGGTGGAGAGGTAATTTACTTGTGCTTTTCTTTCAATTGGGATTTTCACAGTATTTTGGGTCAAAACAATCAAATCTAGAAAAGCTTGATTGATCTAGACAAATGTCAAATTACTTACGTATCATTACCTTGAATAAGCACAAATTCTATGAATTTCCATCTCTTATAGTTGTTGCTTAATAAGGGTGTTTTTTTTTTTCTAAAAATAGTTGTTACAGAAGGATTCAAGCAGGCAACTTGGGATTGGGGTAGGTGGAGGTGATGAAATAAAAATACATGGTTGGTTTAAATTCAATAATTAGAGGAAATTGGAGGGTAGAGAAATAAAGCCAAATTTTGTTCCACAAGTAGCTGGGAAGCAATGCATTGTGAATTTTGAAGATTGTTGGACAAATTTACCCCTGCTTTTGGATTCCCCTACTGCAAGTCCCAAATTTAAGGAAAACTTGTTTAAGGGATTTACTTATGTCAGGCCTGCAGATCCTTTCCTACACGGGACTGAATGATTCTAAAACTTTGTACCAAGTTTTTTAAATGTGATTTTGAGTATCTAAATTATATGGATTATTTTTAATTGTTAAGCTGTTGCATTTATGAAAATTTTAATTTATTGATATGCTTGAAAGAAGTGTCTACTGATGAAGCTGTTGAACAAGCTGCTCATTTGAGATCTCAGATGCATATTTTATGGGGGACTTTGCTTTATGAGAGATCTGTTGGTGAATTCAAAATGGATTTGTCAGCATGGGAAAAATCTTTAGCTGCTGCTGTTAAAACATTTGAGCTTGCGGTTTCATCACCAACAGATCTTGCAGTAACTATAAAGAATCATTGCTCAAATGGAACAGCTTCTGCAGATAATTTAGATAAGTTTTAAGTAAATTACAAAAAGTTCCTTGTGCTTTTCTGATTTTTACTATATTTAGTCCAAAGTTGAATGTTTTGTATGAGTGTTTTTCAGGTCTTGGTTTTAAAATTGATGAAATAGTTCAAGCATGGAATGAGATGTATGAGGTTAAAAGATGGCTGACTGGTGTTCCCTCTTTTCGCCTTGAAACACTCTTTAGGCGTCGCGTTTCAAAATTGCATTCTCTCATGGAAGTGGAACATCGTTGAATTGGGATTTCCATTTTTACCCTTGGTGTGATTTAGTCATGTATGGTTAGCTTTATTTTTTATGTGCCAAAAATACCCTTGTCTTAACTATTCATTAAGGTTTTATTTTATTAATTATTTCTTCCATTTTGTAGGGTAATTTTGACCCCAGAATTAGATGATGATTATTAGTATTTGAAAAAAAATGATAACTAGTTAAAACTTGATGAACATTACAAGTAGGAAAAATAACTAGATTGAATTCTTGTTTTAATTGGCTTCATATTTGAATCTAGTTGATAGTTATCAATTTTCCTAATTTGTGATCACCATCCATTTTATTGTATTACAGTGAATCACTATTGTTGGAAGCTCTTTCTTCTTTTAAGGGAGTCATTTAGGAGATTGCTAGTGCAGTTCCATTGTGGGGCAGTGTACTCTATTGTAAAGGTGATGCAATTTATCACTGAGCACTGAAATACCGGGTGATGTAGATGAGGTAATCGTTTTGACAACCTTCAAAATCCGATTTTGCTGCTCAACTTGTTGGATTCATGGCAACTTTGTTAGTTGGTGCTCCTGATCAAGCCCATTGGATATTGGAATTAGCTAAGTTTGATTTCAACATTGTTGTCAGACATTTGCTTGCATCTGTACCTGGGATTTATTCCCCCAAGCATCCCTACATATCCGATTCCCTTCATTATTTAACTATAAGTAGTTTGTATATATTTATTTCAAGGTGATTATTGAAGCTTCTGTTGTTGGTATTATCCACCTTTATCGAATCCTTTTTCAGTAAGGTTGTTAGAGTGCTAGCCAAAAGTTGAACTCTAATGGTTGCATTATTCATATTTGTAGATCTTGTTGATGTGCATAGTGTCAAGCAAAGTAGCTCAGGATGTTATGAAGGTGGGCAACAAGTTCTTGTAGCTCAACTATTATTTGTTGATGACTTTCATCTCTTTCACATTTGAGGTATTACATTTGTTTATTATTGGAATGATTATTTGTATGCCATTAACTTTTGTGCAATGAATTGTATTTTTTGTATATGTTATTTTATTTTCTATTATGACATACGAAATGCAAATTTAATTTGAAAATTAGTAAATCTATAAATATATACATTTAAAAAAAAAAAAAATTACGATACGCAAAAATGTGTGTCATCTTCATTTATGACATGGCCTTTCTTGACAGCGGCTTTAGTGATACACATTGCGTGTCATAAATGCGCATCGTAAATGCGTGTCGTCTATAGACGACGTGCAAAAGCGTGTCGTCTCTCGTTATGACAGGGCCTTCCTTGACACGCATTTGCGCGTCGTCTGAGCATTTTCCGACACGCATTGCACGTCGTCTGAGCATTTTACAACACACATTGCGCGTCGTAAAAGGCTGTTTTTCTAGTAGTGTGATAAAGTATCATATCTTTATGTAAGACATTATGATTCGTGTCCCATACGCTTCGGGTATAGGATCGATTGCAAATGCTATAATATTTGACCATTCTAAAATTTTCCAAATGTCTAGCACATTTAGAGTGAAAAAGGACAAGAAACGATTTTGACTAAGATAATTAAACAACTATCAAAGGACAATCCAGAGTTCACCGAGGATTGGTTGCGTGCGAATAGTTAGAAGTATGATATTGGATGGACCATATCGACTTTATTATGAATAGATAAGATTCTATTAAGAATGAGTTGTCATATGGAAAATATGGAAATGTTTCCATATTGGGAGTTGGATGTTGAAAGTCTATGTCTAGATTAGAAATTTTATGCAAAAGGATGTTCAAAGGAATGTACTTTGAGTGAGAGACATCACGTCTATTGAATTGTATTGTAACAATCATAGAGAACTTTGTAATATCATTAGCAATAGTCATTGTGACCTTAGTGCAGTGACATTACAAAAGGATCATTGCATAAAATGTTAGAATCTAACATATTCTAATAAGTGGCAAGAATTTGATATTCTTACACTTGTGATATGGATTGGGAGTTGTGAAATCAGTATGATTGGAAATGTGTTCATTTGATCTATTTCACAAAGTAAGAACCATAGGTAAACATTGTGTGCATGCTAAGAGCATGGGACAAGTGTTGTAATTCAAGTAAGAAGTTGATTACCCGAAACGACAAATAATGAGTAATCGATATGGTGATAAATAAAAGGTGTTTTATGTATACTCAAAGGTTTGAGGCCATATGGGATTAGTATTATCCTTGTGTTTCACCTTGCATGTTTTGACTTCCAGAATAATTTAATAGGTTCAGAACAATCAAATTATTCAAACGGACCACAGTCATTCATATGTTGGAAGTAAATATGAAACAAGACTGTCGTGAATTGGTGTGTGGATTGTCTAAAGTGTATTAGACATAAGCAATTGTTTGCTACAACGTTCATGAGTGCTTATGAATTTTGATTTGAGCATTAGATTAAACCCACACTCACTTGGATCACTTAATGGATTTTTATCACGAGTGATTGGTGAGATGATAACATCTTATATTCTTGAAACCGAGATGTGTGAGTTGTATCTTGCGAGTCAGTTGCACAATGATAATATGTAAATGCACCAGTAACTTGGTGTTATAAAACATATTGTTGTGTGTGATTTGGTGAGTAAGTGCAAGCGAGCATTGAGTCAAAGTTTATCCGTTCCTTTTATCCAAAGTAGGATAAAAGCGATATCTGTGGGCCCCTCGATGATTTAGTGATGGCACCTAAGCGCTTGGCCAAGCCGAGACTAATTTGATGTGTTCAAAATTGTAGTCTCTTGTCAGTCGTCATAAATCTGAATTCGGGAAACAACACATAGATAGAGAGAATGATTTAGATCCATGTCTCAGTCTATACGATAATATCTAGAATGGATGAATATATGATCCCTTATCTAAAGGACACACGTCTTTGATATGATCAGAGTTGACAGCGGCTTTAAAAACCTACGATTGCAGATCAGGATCTGAAGTCATACGCGGAATAGTTATTAGACTTATCCAAGTGGGAGACTGTTGGATTAGTGTCTAAGTCCATAATTATTTTGGTATGTACTTGACCCGATGGTGCATGGTCCTTTTGGGTTGCCTTCACCAAAGCAACTTGATAGGATGAATTATGGAGAGAAAGGATTAAATATGATTTATTAATATATTATGAGAATAATATATTAAAGGAGAAATCATATTGTTTAATTAGTATTAGTCAAGAATTAATAAGAATTAAGTTTGTGGCTAAAAGAGATTAATTAAACTTAAGGGACTGGAATTGTAACTATAATATAATTGCAATTGGGCTATGGATTACCTTATAATATAAGGGTGGACGAACTCTATGGGGGAAACTCATTAGAAATCGTCCAAGGCTTGTTAAGGAAAGACTCCATGGGTTGCTTAAGGCTTAAGCATCCAAATTAGGGTTTCCTTGTTAGATAACCCTAATAGGCTCTCTATTTAAAGAACCCTTAAGCCTCAAAAACACAGTGAACTAATTGTCTAGGGTTTCCACACGTTTTGGGCAGCCTCCTTCTCTCCTCGTCTTCATCCTCTTGCTCTTGGTGTTTGTGAACCATTAGAGGAGTGACATTTGTGACTCTAAGCTTTCTAAAGTCATTACAAGGAGGTATTGTGATTGTTATTGCTACATAACAATCAAGGTAATATCTTAAACACATTATTATGTTAATATCGATTATCATATGCTAGAATTAGGGTTTATAGTCTTGGATGAATTGCATGTACAATAGAGAAACCTAGATCCAAGCATTAGGGTTTGTATGAGCACATAGGATGTTCTTATAGCCAAAACCCATCACAACCTTGGCAGGTAACTTTATCCGTATATCCGTATGTCTGTTTATCTGTATCTACAGTTGTTAATTACAACCTTGCCAGAAAACTTTATTTGTTACCCGTACAACCATGGACTTGGTTGTTTTCAAAACGGTTTTTAAGTAGGAATTATTTTTCAAAGATTCATTTCAAACACGGTTTCACGTATGGTTTTAGTTAAGAAACTATACAATTTGGCTTTTAAAGACTCATTTCAAACATTGTTTTAACTATTTTAATACATACAAAGAAAATATTTTTTGTACTTTTTAAAAGTATTGCTACGGTTAGCAGGAAACCTGTGATGTTCACCAACCTTTGTGTTGACTTTCAAAATTACATGTATTCTTAGGGGATCATTAGGTAGGCGTTCAGATTGAAGATTAGATGTGGATTGCAGACGACCTAGCTAGCGTGTTTTTGATATCTGCTTCCCTGTTTAAGTCAACTACTGTACTATTATTATCTGTAAGAACCTTGTATTCAAACTTAATGATGGAATACAAATGCAGTTTTGTTTATCGTTGTACTTGTGCTATATATTCAATTTATCTGTGATCCATGAACTTAGTCCCACTCCCGGCGTGTTCCGCCTTGGTCGGGGGTGTGACAGAATGGTATCAGAGCTAAATTGGCTATAGAGAACTCGTATCCTCGAAAGAGGAATACAACTATAGCAACTAAATTCTAATAAAAGTATTATTAATAATAACACTACTTCTCGACTACTTATGCCGTTTGATGTCCGACCGTCATTTGTGCTCGGTAGTCGGGAAGAACAAATAAAAATTAATAATACTACAAACCCCACCAACCATAATATATAAGAGTTTATATATACTCTGACCCGCGATGAGAATACTTAATAAAAATTTAACACCCCTTCAACTAAAACTACCAACTCAACCCTTTAGGTCAGCCGCCTCAATTAGGGTTA